TTCGTAACGTTTTTGCTGCATAAATGAATTTCCTAATAATTCAATATTTAATTAAGTTTTTTGTTCATGAAATAAGAAATACATAAATTATAATGTCAAGTATTTTCCAAACTTTGTTTACTAATGATGACATTGTAAAAAAGGTTTATTAAAAAAAAAACTATTAGATATAAAGAATTTTATTTTAATTATTTGTTATTATTTAAAATCTTATCATTATACAATTTAAAACCAGTTTGTGAAAATAAAAATTATTTCACCTCGCTTTTTTTACACAACACACAATAAATTTATTTATCAGTTATTTACTATTTGATGATTTTTGCTAGTACAATTAGTAACTAATCATTTATTTTGTTATTATGTCAAATTGTAAATTACTATTAGATAACATTATTTAATATAGTTTAATAACTAATTATTAATTTATTTATTGAAAGTGCAATTTTTATAAACTATCATCACTTTCTTGTATTTGTGATCTTTTCTTTTTCATAGTATGTATGATCTTCATCAGGTACATTGACGCAGACAATTGTGTTTTGAGGAACTCTACCAACAGCCTTAGCGTCGCCATCAAAAAATGGTAGCCGGATTTTATTTGCTGGATCACATATACTTATTAGGGGTGACATATAATTGTGACAATTAGCATTTTTTTCTCAAAATAATTTCTCAGTCCCCAGAATACTTAGTAAATTAAAGAATGGCTGGGATGTGACGCGATGTGACAAATTTTGCAAACCCCCTTAAACTAATCCTAATTTTACCCTAATCCTAATCCTAATTCAAACTCTAACTCTAATATAACAAAAGAAAAAAAATTTTTTGAAAAAAACAAGACGTGAATAAATGGTTTAATAAGCTAAAAAAAAAGTCTAATAAAGTTTTTAAATTAAACTATTTTGTGTAAACCAATAAAACAGTTACTCGGCACTATGTGACCTCATAACTATTACTTATAAAACGTGATCACCGAATATATTGCCACGAGATTTTATATCTTTGTTTTATCTTCTTAATATAACTTGTTAATTAAATCCTGACTCTTTATAATCGCTTCAAATGTTTGTATGAATTTATTACATTATCAAACTTCATGAAAAAAAGTTATCGTACTGTATCAATTTGAAGTAATATCATATTTTATAATTGTAGTGACAAATGTATTAGTCTCAAAACTTGTCATTTTTTTAATTCTTTATTAGTATATTGAAAAGAATGCAGAAAGCTTGTATGTAAAAAAGTTTATATTTTGCTTGATTGAACTGACCAACAAATTCAATTTTGTGATAGTTTTAGTTTTTAAATAAAGTAAAGAATTTATGACTCTATACCATAGGTATGCTTAATTCGTTATGCTTTATGCTTATGCGATGCTTTACATACAGATTAAAGTTCAATTAGTTTCTTTTTTCCTTAAAAATAAAAAGATGAGAAATTATGTTTCTTTTAACCTAAATCTGGTTAGACCGACAATAAATTGATATTGCTTTTTTTTTTATCTTATTTAGCGTCTTTCCAGGTCAACAAATGAGTTTATTTTTTATTCGTCTTAAATAGCAGCGATAGATGATAGATGATTTGATTTTTCTAGTATATGATGAGTTGGTTTATTATTTTACTTTTTACATTAATTTTTTATTAATTATTTATTTTTGTTTTTAGGTAATTTTCAGAGGTTTGGTTCGATCTACCATATGGATAAGTATCTCAAATTATTCGATTTGATCAGATTAATTATCAAATGAATAATTATGTACCAAATAATTCTGAAATTATTCATCATTTGGCTGGTTAGATAAATGTATCAGATATTATTTATGATGATACAACTGAAAGATTAACGATTACGAATTATAATAAGGATTTCATATTAAACACCTTAGGAGGATTATAAAGATATTGAAAATTAACTAAACTCTTTTTGAGGGATACTTCAATAACTATCCTACCAACATTACCCAACTCCTTAACGGTACTTGGTTGCTCTTATACTTAAATAACTATCCTATCAACTTTACCCAACTCCTTAACGGAACTTCATTGCTCTAATACTCAAATAATTACCCTACCAACATTATCCAACTCTTTAACTTATCTTGGTTGCTCTTATGCTCAAATAACTATCCTACCAATATTACCTGACTTATTAATGAAACTTTATTGCTCTAATACTCAAATAACTATCCTGCCAACTTTACTCAACTCCTTAGCAACTCTTGACTGTACAGATACTTCAATAATTAGCTTACAAAATTTATCCGATTCCTTAACGAATGTCTACCCTAAATCTTTAAAAAATCAATAATTAATTCACTATCCTATTATCTTCTTAGCTACTTTAATACATTTTAATTAATAATTTACTTTTTCTTCTCGAATATTAGAATGATCAATTTGATTTTATTGGTTCAAGCATTTATTTATTAATTATGTAAAAAAAAAAAATAAAAGATTGGTTAGTTGTTTGTAAAATGAAATCAGGAATAATTTAATATACCTATTTTCAATTTCAGTTAGAAAAGATATTTGATTTTAAAAAACTTGTAGCAATACAATCATTTTTTTAAAGCTTCCTTTAGATATACACTTATTACTATATTATTCTCTTATTCTATTATAAGAAAATTAATTTTAATTCCCTGCCTAAAGCTTCTTGTTATATAATTTTGATAATTTTTATCCAAAATTATTTTTATTTTCGTGTATGTTTAGTTTTAATAGGCTTATTATTCAATTACTAAAGAGAAAAAATTATATCTATAAATTGCAAAAAGTAAAATCTCAAAATATTTATATATTAATTACATTGATATAATGTACTACTACATTACTCACGTAAATAAATAAATATTTTTTGTTTTTCCAACTTTTAACTACAGACAGATATATCGCACGCAAATATTCTAATGATTTTATTCAAAATATATATATTGAATATATTAATTATTTTGCATTAGATAACATATTGTATATATATAAGTATATTCAGAGTTGATATATTCATTATTGTTATTTTATTGCATGTTTATAAAAACCAAACCATTAAATATTGAAACTGGGTATGATATAGCAATAAAGAAAACACTAGTTAAAAAAACGCTAGACAAAGGCTAGAGAGATATATATTTCAGATAGACGTAAAGTACTGCCTTAAAATTTATTTATTTCCTTTAGTATTTATTTAGTAAAATGACTCAATTATCTGCTCAACTTTAAACCTAGATTTTAATTATCTAAACCAAAACATAATTATCTATAGAATTTCCAGATAGTAAATTGATGCAAAATTGTAACATTTTACTAAAAGAAAATTAACGTATATCGAACCGGCAAGAAGCGTTTATTATCTTTAATGCAAATAACCTTTTCCGCAATGATCGATAGCGTAAATGTTACCACTACGTTTATGAAGCAGGGAACTCTTTCTACTTTGCTAGCTTTTAGTGTCACCAGTATGTCTGCCAAACTTAGCATTCTCAACAAATTTAGAAGACTTTCTCTGCGTCTGATTATGGTGACATAGAAATCCGAGAATGGATATATTCTTCTCTTGATAGAATTTTTAGAATTTCTATCACTAAACAAATTAGAGAGAATTAATTACTCACCATAAATGTGATGTTAATATAACTACCTCAAAAATGTGCTTTAACAATTTACATAATATCATACCTTTCAAAAGTGCGGATGAATCAGTAAAGCAAATATGCTATAGCAAATCATTAAACTCCATGCCTTTGACTTGAATACAGTATGAACCAATCCAATATCGCTGTTATCCTTCAACGCTATTTATCTATTTCTTTATGAACTATAATAATCTTGCTAGATATAAACCTTGAACTTCTTTCTAAAGACAGTCTGAGATAGCTTCGAAGATAAGTAGATGTGGACCATAAACCTCATAGAGTTTAAATGACTGATTATTAAAATTAAACTCAGATTTAAATAAATTTAATGACACACAACCGTATGACCAATATTCAATTTATTGTACGATTTTGAAATTTTTTTTCCGTAGAATTATTTCTGAATATTTTGTTTTGTATATCTGGAAATTAAACAAAATTGCTAAAAGATGATGGTAATTATTCGACGATTTAGGTATATATATTTTACAGTATATTCGTATTTTATATAATATGCTTTTCATCAGTTTGTTTATTATATTTATTTGTAATGAAGAGAGTTGTATTAATTATCATTTTAATTATTTTGCTTATCAAAGTTCATCTAATAAAATTACTAATCAATCAAACGATCAAATAAACTATTATGCTTTGATATTAAAAGTTTATATTTGTTTTTCTATATATAACGTATACAAACTCTTCCTCTGAAAAAAAATTTCAACTCTTATTTTACTCGTGTTAGCAGAAAAAGAAATTTGTTTTATTTATTCTAGGTGATACTCTTGACAATGACTTTTTGATTATAATTGGTGAATGTGGATGATAATGATATAGATTTTAAATATTTTACTGTTGAATCCTCAAGAAACATCTCGTCAAGTCAATGATTGGTATTCTAAATATTTTAGAAGATAACTAAGCAAGAAGTTAAATATACTTCAAGAGAAGTATATTACCTATTTAGTTATTAAAAAAGGTCTTGAAGGTAGTAATTTGAGTTCGCCAACGAAAAATATCATAAAACTTTACCCTGAACAACTTTCTATAGACATTGACATCATCGTTCAACTGCTACCATTGGAAAGTGTCCCTTTCAAACAAGATATTTGCAGTAACAATATATCGATTTTGATCAGATAACTTTTTTCCCCTTTTTCTGAAAAGCGTTGCTTGAAAAGTTAAAATATCGCAATGCACTCCTTTTTTTATAGGTAACGATTCCTTTTGTGACTTTCAAGTTTGAAAGAAAAAACTAAAAGAAGCAATTCATGATCATTACAAGCTTCACAACATGAATAAAATGAAAATACTTTATTCTACCAGGAGCTGGAGAAAGGTAAGATATCGCAACGCTCAAATTACTTATTGAATGTTCTGAAGTGATGTTGACTTACAATACCGCCTTAAAGTTGCTCTTGCATATAATATATTGTTTGAAAATGGGACTATTACTTCGGGAAGAAATGATAGCTCATATGCAAATTGATAATCGAATGCTATTACTATTGTTGAAAGGATCTGAATGTTAATATTATTCGTGGATGGTTTATAAGTGGCAATGGATAACCCTGAAGAAGGAAAAAACAACAAAAAGAACTTTTCTACTAGTCACATCATTACATCTTCCGATAATAAATAATATTCAGTTTTTAATAATGGACGTGTGCATTGGAGGCTTTAGAAGAGGATAAAGATTTGAGCAAAGTCAATTTATTTGATCTAATAAAGAATGTTCGATTGAATTTAACTTATTTTTATTCAGGATGTCTGCTTATTTAGGACTTGCATGCATTATTCTAGCACATACATTTACATCCATCCTTGGAATTGATAGAGAAAAAATAAATAGATGACATAATACACTATGGACTGGTTCGATTTGAGAGCTTCGATCCTGATTGAGTTATTGGTTATCTATCGTATCCATTTGACTATGAAAAATGACTCACGCATACCAAGAAAATTTTAGTGATCTCTTGTTACAGAATTGAGATTTGCCTACTACAATGAAGTATTCAATAAATCGGAGAAAACTAGTATTCAACCTAATTGCCAATACTGGCAATATTTTGAGTATTTTGATGCTCAATTTCACTCTCTAAAATCGAACATCTATAATTATGACCAGCGAGTTGATATCAGTGAATTCATAATGTTGCCATGCATAATTTAGCCAAGTTTTTATATCAGATACAATCGATAATTTACATTATAATTATTTGTTCTAGTATAAATTTGAACTTAAATTTCGAAATGTGTAAAAAATAATTCAAATATATTTTATATATATGTTGTGACGGGTAAAATTTTAGATAGATTTAATTGGTAGAATAGAAAGTCAATTTTATTGTCATGTAGATCTTCTATAAAGATTATTTTGTCCATTTTATTGCCGTCGATCAATTATGAAAATCCTTAGATGTCAATTTTATTGCCTTTGATTATCACGTAGATCAAGATGTCCATTTAATTGCCTGCAGATCTGGCAATTTTATTGACACGGCAACTTTATTGCCTAGCAAAAT